TTAACAGTCCTTATTACCTTAAGCAACATTCTCTGATTTCCTAATATGTTAAAGAGGGATGAAAGTAGTACCCACTTCTAAGGACAGTTCTGAGAATTAAATTAATACATATAAAGTACTTAAAAATGATGCCAAATACACAGCAGATAATAAATGTATATCATTATCATCTTCAGTTAAATAAGACTTACTTGTAGAAAAAAAAACTTCCATAATTTTTTACCTATTTTAAAGAATATTTAAAATTTTAGAAAAATTATACATAGAACTAATGGTAGTAATTTTATGATCAGTCCCTCATATTCCAAAATACTAAGGCTATACCTGAAAGAGTCCCTAAATCTGATCTTACGTTTACAAGTTTTAGTTCTTTCTCACAGTACTAAAAGTATGTGTACATATATCTGTAGGTAATTCCAGCAGCTCTACTGCTGCTACCATGAAAGTACACTGGCAAAAATCACAGTGTGATACAATTATCAATAAGCTTGTTCAAATTGTTAATTAGATAATGTTAGTACTAGAGATTTTCAAATAAAATAAGTCCGTCTTATTTGTGGTTTATTACAGATTTTGACCGAGCATGATCAAAAATAAATAAAATCAAAAGAAATTCCAACAACAAAAAATCTCAGTTGACAAGGAACTCTCAGTCAGCTCTATATTACTGTCAGTTGTCCTAAATTCTGTAAAAATATCTTACCCAAAAGCAAATGGTACCCCTAGATCAATATAAAAGTATAGAGTAATATAAGCTAAAAGGGCCACAAAATTAATTTAAGTGATATAGTGGAAATTTTATTTGTTGAAAGGTACTGTTACTTTCATGGAAACTGAGTGGTATTACTAGAAAAATGAATCAAGTATCCACAAATATAGTATTGTATAGCATCTCTACATCTTGAACATTTGTGGGTCCCCCCCCTCAGTGGCAATCTCCTTGGAATCCTATACCAAGGGTCTACAGTACAGACTTTTGCTAAAATATTTGATAACTGTCTTCACAGTTCTCCAACTATAGCAATTATAATATTCAATGATTATCCCAGGGAAGATGTTTTACTATTCTTTCAATGTTTTGAACCTGATTAAATTTCACAATAAGTAGAAAACAATCCATTATAGTACTTGTAGAAGTTAACAGACTTCATAAAAGTTCCAACAAAAAGGGCTGTACTGTTCTCAATTCTCTGACCTCAACAGAAATCTCCACTCTTGGTGTGGATGGGTGCCTTAAACACCTACATATCCCAGGATTGTAGTTGACTTTTATGCATTAATAATTCATTAAAATATCAGTCATATACCCAAACAAGGGTTTTCCTTGGAGCATCTCCCAGCTCCAAAGCCATGGGGAAAGGAGAGGAACCTTTACAACAGCAAACTGAGAGTGTAGGTTAATCCAGGTCTCTCTGTGCCTACGTAAACTACCTCCAATTTCTTTTCTTGCTCATCTGAGGTGCAGTACATAGCAATAAATGATGTCTAAGATATTATTTGCTTCTTGCCAAGGAGAAGATGTTTGCTTGCTATAAAGCAATATTCCTAACTTAGGGAAATTTGCTCACTTACTTCTTCCACTGTAGTCCATGTGATAGATTTGGGAAAGGGATAGTACTTAGTTTTGAGGCTGGCTCCTAGACCTTCATGAAATTAAAATACTGTTTTAGATACAGAAGATGATGACAGATGACAGAGGTAAAACTAGCTTCCCATGAGTTATGACTTCCTGTTTTCATTGATTTCTCTACAAAAGACTTTCTCTATAATGACTGGCAGAAGTGGAATTCAACATACTTAATGCATAGGCATTGGGGTGGGGGGGAGTGGAGGGTGTGTGTGGGCAACTGACCAGAAAGTATGTAGCCTCAGGAACAGGATCCTATAGGATAAGGACAGCTTGGGAATGATGGTAGAGTTTCTGCAAAGGTATTCATGGAGTTAAGTTATAAACATTTTACTAACAGCAGGAAGTATTTTGATGTTTTAATAAGATGGCTGTACTGGTATAAACCAGCTAAATGCTACTCCTGCTTGTGGGAATACTTCAGAGAGTCTTCTGAAAGGCATTCTGATTATATTTCCCTGATGTAACAGTTCCAGATCTGCCCTCTGCCAATCCTTATTATTGCATTATTGTCTTACTGTCCATTGGCCTCTAATGGATCAAACTAATTCCTTCCCTCACATCCTCTCTTTCTGCCCTTTCCCCAACTTCTGCTGCTTATTATTTTGGAGATGGAAGTCTCAGAGACTTTTCTGCTTGGACTGCTCTGAACCACAATCCTCCAAATCTCAGCTTGCTGAGTAGCTAGGTTTATGTGTATGAGCTACTGGCACCTAGCCACTAAGGTACTTTCTGATATATCACTTGGACTTTGGAAAATACATGTCTTTACAATGTCAAAATCCAAGTAGGTAGCAGAGTTCTTCCTGCCACCAACTTCCTTCAGTCTTTCTTTGATCAGTCAGTTATGTGAAGGATGCTGCAATAAATTTATGCTTAAAACACTCATTTCCCTTCCTCAATTTTCAACAGTGAAGCTGCCTGCACTGTCCTAGATAGAAAGGGGTAAATGATGCTTCCACATACAAGACAATGAGAAGGCAAGTTGTCTGGATGGCCCATGACATCCCCTATTCTTAGAATAACTTAGTTTAAAGAGTTAATGAGAGGCTTTCTTGAGGTATTGGGAATAATAAATTATAAAATGAAAGAGAAGGGCTCAGTCCAACTCAGAAGTAATTTCTTGGTAGTTTTCTTCTTAAAATACGTGAATTTAAAGCTGTCTCTTCACATTTGAAACACCACCACCACCAGTTCTAAGCATCAGTAAAATCCTCCTCAATATCTTGTTATGCTTATTCTTTGAAGAGGCACCAGGAATAATTAGATACTCTGCTTTGTTAAAGAGTGAGCACCAAACATTCATGGGATAAAAATGAGGGAAACATTTATCTACTGGTGATTATTTGGCTATTCTGATTAATCCACTGTGCACATTTTATATTTAATTAGAAACTAGGAAGGCTTTAGGATATTATTCTAAAACACTGTAGTAGAATTATGGTATCATATTTACATGGTACAAATAATGTAAGAAGATTTTCTTGACAAATTATTTTTTAACAACCTTATTTTATCAAAGTATGTATTTTTACTCAAATGTTTTAAGAAAGTAAGTCTGAGTCTAAGCTGATTTGCTATGATTGGAATAGGCTGATTTCAGACATTTTACCCCTTTAAATTGTGATATGAACATTCAAACATCTGTTAAACCATAGCATCTGTTTCGTATTTGGGATGCATCCCTACAAATTAGAAGAATGCTTGTTTTAATGAGCTCTGATTTAATTCAAAATGTTTTTTTTCAGTGACTGGAAAAAAATGGCAGAACAAATTTACTCTCTAGCACTCCAGCCCTTAATGGAAAAATATCCCAAAGGCTCATATGTATATAACCAAAAAAAGTTTAATTAGAAGATTAGTCATATACTTAGAAAATTTTATAATTTAATGTTGTTTAATATTTTATTTGTATATATGTGGCTTAGGCATACATATACATTCACAAAATATTCAGAAAAAGCAGATGGCCCATAAATCTATATTATTCCAAAAATAAAGCTACTTTTCTTTTTCAAATAGTCCTGATACTCTACACATTAAAAAACTCATAGTCTCTTTACTAAGATTACTTTTCAAGCCTAATTCCAGAAGTACTCCCATCAGATTTTCAGTTCTTTCTGAGATACTGGAGACTTGAATACAGGACCTTGCTCTTATTCGAAATACCCTACCACTGAATTATGCTTCCAGCCCAACACTATTCTCACTTGTAGTTGTAACTGAAGTAATACTTTACAAGATTCACTAGTTTTCTAAGTTTTTCTTGGAGTTTTCCTGTCATTCACAGTCTTCCATTTGGATCTGAATTTGACTTACACAAGAATATGTCAAAAGTATTTCAGCCTTCCAATTTACATGGATCTCACTAGGCTTTGAAAGGCTAATTTAAGGATATTAGCTATTTCCAACTCCCAAGTATTTATGATATAAACTACTATCAAATCTAAAAGTCAATAAATTACAAGGTTGGGGTGAAGTTCCATGAACTCAGAGGTAAGAAGCACTTGTCTAGCATGGACAAGGCACCAACACTGAAAAAATAAGCATATTTTTAAGAAATTCAATAATTGCCAAGAATTGATAAAAGAACAATATTATCCACAAAAGAACTCAGAAGAAGCTCATTTAAGAAAAAAATAGAAAAATGAAAGGAAACAGTTAATGTTTTTGATCATTCATTTTGTAATTCCTAATTTCACACCAACTAAGAAAACTGCATCAATAGTAACCTGGTGCCCAGGAAATTTCTCTCACTTGCTTCTTTGAGGCAGTGATCATAGCCTGGTAGAGAAAGCCCCTGTTCTGGCACATTCTTCCCTAACCTAACCTCAAGTGAGGACTCAGTCCTTTAAAGTCTTTACGAAATTATATTTTCTACTTTGCCAAAAGAATAGCATTTTATACACACATCATATAAAAAGTGTAAGTGACAGATGTTAACAACTCAGAGGTCTGAACAAGCCGTATGAGTTCTTTACTAACTCCCCAACCCACTGCAAAAGATTAAAAGTCTAACTTAAAAAGTAGTATTTTTTAAGGAATTAGAAGAAAATAACCAAGTCTCTTTTTCTCTCTCAAATTGGACTCTCATTTGAGAAAACAACAACAATCAAAGAAAGAATAAACTAACACTATTTTAAATTATTACCTGTGAGAAAGAAAGGCTTTGTAAAATCCCCTTGTAACCTTTGTAAATACTTAATGACTTTCAACAGCAACATTCCTTTTTTCAAAATTCAAAGTCAAGTTTTTCACCATTGAAAATTAGCTAGAACTCATTTTGTGGTCACAGTGTAGTTTAAAGAACACTGCTATCATGGTTTTGAGATTTCTTTGCAGATCTTATCTCAATGTGTTCTTTTTAACTTGCCTCTGCCAGTTGAAAGAGCGCAGACTTCCCACAGCGTTTCACAGACTCAGTGCCACCCAACTGGGAAGTGTGTGAGGAGATCTATTGAGAAACAATTTACATAAAGAATATTAATTGTGACACTGGAAATCTTTTGTTTTCCATTCATGCAGACTGAGGTATTTTCTTCGTTTATGGGAATATCATCGCTCCCATGTACCTAGTAACTTTAAACATGTCAATTCTGAATCATCATTTGGAGAACCATTTTCAGCAGCTCAAAAGTAATACCAAAATATAAGTGTGGGTTGGGTGGATAGTTAATGACACAAGTATTATCTTTAGATTTAGATTTAACTCTATAACCTCCAGCATGGATCTTATTTCTGTTCAAGTACTAACCAAATATCAGAGATTGAAAACCATTCTGAATTTACCAACCCCTAAGCAAGTATTTGGGATCTCTGAGGAAGGAAAGCACTAACAGTCAACTTTTTTTTTTTTTTTGCTTTTGAAAATATAACATGTGGTTAGGCAGTAAGATAGGGATTGGAAGGAATTCAAGAGTTTTCTATAAAATACTGACCCTGGTTTGAGAGAATGCCCTAAAATATATTCAAAATTGACAAGCAAGACCACAAATTTAAGGTGGTCAGTTAAGAACCTATATTATGTTGGGAATATCAGCATATACATAAAATTATACTGACGACCTGTTTTTCTACAACGTTGGCTAAATGGTGTCTGGGCACTGATAAAAATGAACAGTACTGCTCTTTCTTGTTTACACATGAAAATTTTGCTTTCAATTCCTAGCGTCAGTGAGAGCTGAAAAGGATATCCACTAATAAGGACAGTTACACAGCATTCTTCCCCTGAAGAAACTGTCATCATTAGAGTAGCTAGTCATGCTCTATTTTATATCTTTGTGATTCTGAATCAGTTTAGATAGAGCTATTTCTCAATTCTGTTGAGCAGGGAATTGTGCCTGGTGACTGTACCCTTACAGTCCTGACCTGAGGGTCACCTGACTGTTAGTACTCACCACTAGATGGAATTCTCCATACTTACAAAAATGGCCTTTGTAGAGGCACGAACTCTATAAGTTTCTCCAACCATTTTAAAAATGGGACAGTTTAAGGAAATTATGAGGCCTATTTCAGTGTTGGTGCCTTGTAAATGCTAGATAAGTAAACTCCTTTTACATTTTTCAAGTATTTGATTTTTCTTTAGACTATAGAGAAAGCAATACTTTAGTATCATTGACTCTTAGTGACTTATGGAATGAAGTATTACATTGTGAAGATTACACTTTGTTAATAAGCAACATAACTAATGTCATATAATATTCTCAATACATGGTATAATTATCAGTACCAATGATGTACCATTAGTACTAATAAACTTTTTAGTCCAATTATAAAATTTAGCCATCTATAGAAATTGAAAGACTTAGTATACTGAGGATTTTTTTTTAATTTCAAAAGAAAAATTTTCATGAGAAGATTTATTGGTGAGATATGTTTTCTAAAAATGTGTCTTTTAACTTAATTTTTGGGAAAAACCTTGGTAGAAAACTGAACAGGTTCGTTTCAATGGCTGAATCTATGCTAATCACTATTTTGGAAAACTTCTTGTACTGTGGAGTGTCACCTCTCAGGCCCCTCCTTACTAGCTCTTCTTACAGTGATCCTTTAAATGTTTTCCTTAGGGTTTTGTATTAGGGCTTTCTCTATGTGATAATTTTTTTTTCTATAATTTTTTTCTCAGAAATTTCACTCATAATGATGCCTTTGATAGTAAGAAAAATGATCAACCAGGATATTAAATTATTCATTTTATAGCTGTCTTAGGTAAATGAGTAGACCAAGGAAATAGGTGGTAAAGATCAGAAAATAAAATTGGGTAAATCAATCTTTTGCGATTATGAGGTGATATTATAAACACTGGAGCTAGGGGGGAAAATGACAACTGTGGAATAAATGAATAAATCAAAGAACAAATGAACAATATGAAGATGATTGGTCTATTTACTTTAAAAGAAATATTAACACTTCTGAAAAAACACGTAATAATGTTCACTGATTAACTGCAGTGAAGTGTATGGTGCTTTCTATCAAATGTAATATTCTATAACATATTGGGTATTCCATCATAAAGTGAGTGCTTTAAATTTGGATCTACTGTATGATAGCCTCTACTTACCGTGGCAAAGTATTAATGTCCAAATTTTTGTCTAAATCATCTAGATTAGCTCTTTTTCAAGCAGATATGTAATTTTTCAATGCAAAGAGAAACTGTAGGCTTAAGAGTCAGTCATATAGCAGAGAAGAGAATGTATGGATTAATCATGACTTTTAGATCTGTTAAATAATGGAAAACAACAGCTCCCTGCTATAAGCAAATCAGATGGGTCAAGTGAAATCTTGATGAAATATGAATACCACTGATGTGGAATGAGAAGCAGGCTGAAATAAGGGGAGGCAATCTCTGCCCTCTCTAGAACTTTTTAAACTCAAATATTATTTTTTTTCCTTTAATGTAAATATCCACTAAAGAACTTTTAAATGAAATGTGCTTTACTGAGGTTTGTTGTTAACTGTAAATTAATTTCAATAGGCTTAAATCATAAGATTTGGTTAGGAAAGAAACTACCTTTTCAGCTTTCAAAGTGGAACCTTAGGATTTGATGTGAAAGAAAAAAAACACAAAGAAATGCCTAGGGCTTTTTTTTTTTTTAACTTTCACTGTTTCTTGTTAAACACACACACAGATACACAGACACACACACACAGACACACACACAGACACACACACAGACACACACACACACACACACACACACACACCAATTTTCTCAAGAGAAGGTATGGCTAAATGTCTTTCCAAGGTTTAAATGAACAATTTTAAGCTTCTTTAAATTCTATATACACTTCATGTCAAAATCAAAAGCCTTCCAAGGCAATTGCTATTGAGCAGGAGGGTCATTGTATTGAGATAAATCCCTGCATAATTCTTAGGTAGGTTGAAAAAACACTAAGTCAAATTAAGAATTGAGGACCAAATCTTCTCACTATCTGAGTAGAGGACAGACGAGCATCGAGAACAGATTACTTTGTTTAGGATCTCATTCTGGAGAATTACATCTTAAAAGTTATACTATCCATCCCCAGGTCCCTCAGAGCTGCCCTACAGCTTCAGGAGCGCCTAATGAGTCTGTTGACATTATCTTTTAAGTAACAATCATGCTGTCAGACACACATCAACACCAGCAGAGATATTCTATGATGACATTTCATACTAAGTTGAATACTTTTGGTAGCCAATAAATATGCAAATATCAGGTATGTTGAAGATAAAGAACTACACCTTTCTATGTTCATATTACAGAATAAAGAATTTTTTATCAAACAGAATATATGGCAAAAAAATACTGTTGTGAATGAAATGTTCTGACAAGCTGGATGGGAATGATTCAGATATCAACATTAAAAATGAATTTAGTCAACATGCCCAAATTCTTTTTTAACTCTTGGAAAACTTGGTAGCATCAATAAATGAGTGTTAGCAACTAGAGAAGAGCAAGAAAGTGCTATTTTATTTCCCTGGAAAGTGCAAGCCTGTTTATCAACACAGAAAAATTATAATAAAATCTTAATGTATTCAGATTCATCAAGCAAATTGTTCTTTATGAATGATAACATTATGTACTTTTGTTACCAATTTTATACAATAGACCACAGCAGCTAAACCCAAAACTTGCAAAGAAGCCTAACACATAAGCAGGCCAAATGATACTACACAATCGCAGCATTGACAGTATTCTAAGAAGAAAAAGCATTTTTTTAAAAAGATAAGAACTAAAAATATTTTTTCTCATTTTCAAAGTAAAAGGCCAGGTTTTCTGTGCCAAAAAGATATCATTTTACATTTCACTTATGCAGCACTCCTTATTCAAATGTAACAAAGTGATTCAATACATCAATATTAAACAGAACAATTCTACTTGTCATCTTCTCTCAACTCTATAAAATATTGCTTAGTTTCTAATATGTTTTTTTTTGGCTGGAATTAATAAAAAAGAAAGATCTGAAAAGTAAAAAGACCCAAAGCAGGCAATATCTCATTTTCATGAACTGCACACATTTTATTACTTGTCATATAACGCTCAGTAGGAATGAGCGTATGTTTGAGGACCAGGCTTCCACAGCAAAACTGAGACTATCAGATTTGCCTCCTTAGCATATCAACCAAGGAAATAATCTCTGTTGTGTGCTTTCTGGCTGACAAACCAAAAAAATTTGGGATCCTGAGAGAACTAACCCAATCTAATTGGGATTAAACATTAATAAAACTTCTGGACATTGCTATATCGTATCAAAAGCTAACTGATGATAGTTTGACAGGTCATATTCACAACTTAATTTGTTTTGAGAGAATTATTCATGCGTTACAGCATCTAATTTCACTACTGGAAGCATCTAATAAACTGTAGTCCTCTGGCCTTCATGTTGACAACAGTTTTCACAAGTTTCTTAAACAAAAAACAAGGTAGAATGAAATAAATGAATTACTGGTGTCTACTCTGAATAAACTCATCAATGAATACTTGTAAGATGGGTATGAGGCCTAAGAGCTAATCTGACTATGATTACCACAAAGGCAACAAAGCCACACAGACACTCTGTATGCAAGAGGCAAACCTAAAGTTCACCATACATTATTAAAATTCTTTATCAGTATTTGCTGAGATCAACAAGATTTCTGAGCCCAATAAGCACTAAAAAAGATTACCTCTGCAAACTGAAACAAGGCTGATGCTTGACACTGCTTTGTAGGAACATCAGGATGGGATGTACTTGACGATATCTGAAAGGAACCAAGTCACTTTAATGTACAAGGCCATCTTCCTATCAGACTATTAGATTCTGCCATGTATTTCCACTGCAGACATTGAAAAGACTCAGACATGAGTCATCACCTCCATCTCTTTTAGAGACGCAGGATAAAATGATAAAGGGAAGATGAAGGCCATGTTTCTAAAAACAGATGACTGAAAAGCACAAAAATACAATTTGGCTCACGTGGGAGTCCTCTGTAAGGGTTATCGGGTATATATCAAACAGCAGTTAAAGACACCTATTAATAAGAATTCTCTAATTTCAGTGAATATTTTAGTAGTATAGTATTTAAAGCTAGAAGCTACAAGTAAAGCCAGTCACTCTCTTCTCTACAATACTCACTTCAAGCATGAGAAATCATATGGAGATGGGTTGGGTATCCGGAATTAAATTTTAGCTCTGTTACTTACCAGCTCCATGACCTTAGACAGCTCAGCTCAACATTCTGAAACTTATTTTTTCCAACTTTAAATGATGATGATGATGACAATTTCCATAAGATTATAGTTAGAAAAAAATGAATTGTCTGGCATAGCAGCAGACCTCAGTAATTGTACAGTAAACATGAAAAACATCTTTTTAAAGACCTGTATCTCTCCTTCTCTCTTTCCCACTTCCTTTCCTTCTCCTCCACAGTCCACCAGTGGATAGAAGATGGTATCATAAAACATGTGAGTAAACTAGACCTTTTATTTCCTTCTGTTTTGAATGGTAGCCACATTCAAACTGCTAAGGGTCATGTATAAACACATTCAAGGATGTTCTGAATGCAAAGCAGTTACTAATTTTAGTTCTAAAATGAATAAAGCTTCTTTTTATCTAGCTACAAACTGATGAAAGTGAATCCTAAGAGCAAAAATCTTGAGCATTACAATTTCAGCCCATTTTTTTCCCCACTGAAATCTCTGGAAGTAACTGTGTAGATAAATACATCACAGATTACTAAGTAATAAATGAGCCTGAATCATAACTCTTCAACCAGAAAAACTCAGTTTCAAGAAAAGTCACTTTTAGAAGTTAGACAAATAGTGTGATAATGTGGGGAATACAGTATTAAAGTGGTGATTAAGGATGAGAGTATTAGTATAAAGAGTGACTGGAAACTGATTTTTATATTAATCAGATAGATAAGCATTTTTAAAACAAATATCAGTAAGAAGAAAAAAGTCTAGCAGACTCTAATTAGAAAACTAGACATAAACAAAAGATTATGAATGGATAAAATTTAAGCAATTAATCTGAAAACAGTTAAGGCTGAAATATCAGAACTTTTCTTATTTAAACCACTGAAACTGTAATTTCCAGTAAATACTAAATACAAGTGTGATGGACTACCAAAAGGAATCAAAGGGATTTTTCTGAAGTCTTTGGAATTGTAAACTTAATAGAACTTACTTTAAATACTACATTTCATTCTTACTAATAACATTCTAAAAGAGTAAGCAATTTGTGTAAAAAGAAATGCCTAACCTATAATATCTTTCTTTAGAAATTTAAATTAGGGCATAAACAAAAAAGAACTAGTATCATCATACATCTAGCTTTTTTGAAAAGCATTTTATAAGTTTTAAACAGAAGGATACTTTTAAGGTGATAATGAGATACTGACAGAGTTCAATTAGTGGCAAAAATAGTAGCTCTTGAACAAGAATTAAGCCAGAACCCTTCATATTAAACAATACTGCCAGAGATCTCTGAAATCTTAGGCATGCCACAGAGGCAACAAAATAAACGTATTCTAATATCTCTCTCAGATTTCACATGAGATTTTACTAGACCTTTGAAGCTTCAGGGGTCATTCTGCTTTCAAAGTTGGGTCTAACCTAATTTGGCACCTCTATAACTTCTGATGAAAAGGGACTGCAGAGTGAATACTCTGTTCAATTCTTGCACAAACAAATTATTGGAATCCATGCCAGATCTCAGACAGAGGCCAATAAAGACAAAATGTGTATGTGTGTGTGTGTGTGTGTGTGTGTGTGTGAGAGAGAGAGAGAGAGAGAGAGAGAGAGAGCTCACAAGATTTCCTACTTGTCTAATGTGCTGATGATACCAGCAAGGCCACTAGGAATACTATATAAATAGTCTCAAAGAACTGGTCTGATGTGCCTGTATCAAAATAATCTGAAACCAAAAATATGGTCTTACAAAACTGGGACAGGATGGACAAATGCCAGGAAGGATGAGAGTAGTAGACAATGTGCAACAAAGACAATTTAAATAATTAAGAAGTAATTAAAAGGCAAAAAATATCAAAGAACACTCATTCAGAGTTCTAGAATGAATTAAGGTATTTTGGGAACTAATTTTAACCTCTACATTTGATATTAAGGATGATATACTTATTCTATGTAAACGCTTTGAATCAATATTGAGAGACGTATTGAGCTGAAAAGTTTTGTGACATAAAGCTGCCAACTTCAGGCTAGTTTCAAAGAAGAGGGAAGTGTATGAAAAACAACACACAGTCAATAGTCTTCTGACTTACAAATCAATTCATAATAAATTATATTTTATATTAAATTATACATTTTATAATCTAGTTGTGTATAACATTTTATAATCATTTATATATAAAGTACATATTTTATATTTTAAACCTCACTGTCCATGAATACAAGATAATGATGAGGTTTAAGTATAATAACATTTTATATGTTTTAATAAATAGTTTCTATAAGCACATATTTATTTCTCTAATAAAAAACTTCTTTTATCCCATTGTGGCTATCAGAACTGAGTAAAATTACTTAGTTCTTTTTTTTTTTTGGGGGGGGGGTCCGGTCATGGGCCTGAACTCTGGGCCTGGGCACTGTCCCTCAGCTCTTCAGCTCAAGGCTAGAACTCTACCACTTGAGCCACAACGCCACTTCCAGTTTTTTTTTTCCTGCTTATGTGTTGCTGAGGAATTGAACCCAGGGCCTCATGCATGCAAGGCAAGCGCTCTACCACTGAGCCACCTTCCCAGCCCACGAATTCCTTAGTTCTTAAAGAGTTCTTCATTTTATCACTTACTAAATTTAAAATTGTTCATTAATCAAGTGTCATTTACAATATATTACCTCAGCAAACTGAAATAATGGTGACTTCTGCCGTAATTCAGGGGATTCTGAAACATCAGGTCTGCAAGTGCCAGAGGATATCTGAAAAAAAGAAGATGGCATGAGCATCACAAGAATAGCTTCTGAAAGTGTATAGAAGACAACTTGGAACAGTCTCACGTTGACAAAAAAAAGTTTTATTTTCCTTAATTTAAGGCAACACTGTGACAAAAATGTAGTTACTGTGCAGTTATATAAAAGAGGCCATTGAATTGCTAAATATACTAAATGCAAGAGTCACTAGATAAGTAACCTCTTAGGGTGTGTGTGTGTGTGTGTGTGTGTGTGTGTGTGTGTGTGTGTACACGTGCGTGCACACGCGCGCATGTCACATACGTATACGTGCATAATTACGGAAAGGGTTAGATCAGAGGAATAATGAAATCTAAATTCTCTGTAAAATTTTAAAATCTGGGAGAAAAAAACCCTCATAAAAACAGTGTAAAGAAGAAATTACCTACAGTGCTACTCCCCCAAAATAAGCAATGTTAACATTCTGTCTGTAACTGTCCAGTTGTATAGATGTTCTTATCTTAAATATAATTTTCCTACATTTCTAAGTCTTTTCCAGTTGAGTTTTTAAACCTGCACATGGCTAGTTGCATCAGAGAGTTTCTTCCTATGGAAAAATCTGCCACTTAAGATAGACAGTGTGCTAACACTGTCCTAGCAAACCTCTTTAGTTCATGGTGGGATAGTAGGGGGGGGTATTTCTTTAGCAGTGTCACAGGCCACTGAGCAGGAACAAGTATTTTAAATGTTATTAGTCACCTTTGGATTTTTAAAGAGTAATAGCTACCCTCTCCCACTGATAAGCACTATAGAGAAGGTACAAAACCTTTCATTAGTTTGCTCCTCAAGGAGATCTAGACTCTTATTGTCACTTAACTGTATGGTGTGTTGTGTCAAATGTCCCTAGTAAGGACTTATCAAATGCTCCACAGTGAAAGCCAACAAATACTGAAAAGTATTAGTAATTTCTTCATTGGAAGGAATAATTCCACAAAACATGTCTTTTCAAGTTAAGCATGATTATGATTCTAAAGTTGTTAAGGTAAGGATGATTATATATCTGCATTAAAGAAGAAATAGAGATGCTGTGATAGCCACAATTTTAAAATGTGAAATGGTTCAATGACATGGCAAATATATACATGTGGAATTCATTCTTCTGTGCTTGATAAATAAAGCAAATAATAAAGGTATGTATATTTTTGCATACATTGGTAAGCAGATATATGAATCTATATGAAAGCGAGAGAATACTTCCTACAAAAGCCTCTGAGTTGAGTAATATCATTAGTCAGATTCCCAGACCTTGTGAAATGTATAAAATACAATGTGCTGTGCCGTCACCTATTGTTTGTGTCTAAGACACAATTACTTATTTTTATTAGGTGAGGCATGCTTTTATGTTTAAACACCAATCAACATCTGTTTTCATTGTAGAGCCAGTTTACTTCTTAAATATAATAGAATACACAATCATTAATGCAGCAAAAAGAAAAGACACTAAATAAGTAATGTTAATAAAGGAAGAGAAAAAAGCCCGAAGACACTGTTCCTAGAAACAGTCAGTGAAATAATCCATTACACCACTAGGTGATGCTATATACCCAAAAAAGAAAAGAGTTAACCACACATTGAACTTAAATTCAGTCCTCTCTTTATTTACCCACAGCTCCCAATAACCAAGGAGAAAAAAAAATGATTAGTAGATTTATGACAAAGTAATAGAAGAAGTTTACATAGTGAAAAGCATAGACATAGAAAGGTGATTCAGCCTTGTAACACAAAACTAGATCAAGCTCGTTGTATACTGTAATTGGCTTGCAAAGCTAGGAATTATTAACGGTCTGCTTCTATGATATATGGCAGAACAGAGCCACATACCAGTTGGTACTGTTGTGGACACACAGTCAACATAAGGAGCATGTGTGCATTCTAGCTATGTAGTCCTAATCTTGCTAATTCAAACCTTCACTTTCTACTCACTTACTCAACACCTATTTACCTGACATAAGGATTTTCAAGAGTTTAAGCTCTAGATCTATCTTGTATACATTCCCAAACAGTATGTTAAACCCTTAGGCTGCTCGCAATTCAAGCTAGACTAGGTGTTAGAAGGACCTTGAAGGAAACAGGAAAGAGTCATCATGCTGTGGGTGAAGAAGGGAAGGTAACATCTGAGATCCACCAAGAAGGCAAGCCAGAATTTCTCTCACAAAAAGTGTGGGAGGGAAGTGTAGAAATATGGAGGCACATATATGCCCTGTGGTTTTGAGAAACACAAACTTCTCCAGAGTGGGTCAAGATCAAGATGCCATAGGAATGTAGTAAGAAATGAGTCAGACCAACAGAAATCGGGATTCTACGTGAAGAAGTCTGAAAATTAGGCTAGCAGAAATGAGGAACCAGCCAAGGTTATTAGTTAAAGACACATCATGTTGAGAGATATGCAGTTAGATAATTATGTCAGTGGTGTGCAGGATGACCTTGGCTGGGGAGCAACTAGAGGCAGACCAATTAGAAGGTAAAGGAAATAAAGCAATAGACATCTAGGTTCCAATTAAATCACAGTATTTGTCAGTTTTCAGTAATTTTCTGGAAGGATTGTCAGAACAGAGGGAGTAGGGTCAGACAATGCCAGTGACTCTACAGTAAGCCAAAGCTTAAATAGGGAAGGTAACAAAAAGAAGCCAGCGTGGTGGGGTGCAGGGAGTGTTTTTCATGAAAAGAGGAAGTTCAGGGTAGAAGACTGGGATATAGGGTAGAAGATTCCATCTGAGAGTTAAAGGAGGGCCTGAATCCTGAAGCACTGCACCTGGCTAACTGACACTCTTGTATACTACACCTGAGGAGGTTAAGTGGGCTACTGTGGAGAGCACAACCAAACAGCACCACAGACTTGAGTGCTCCCAGATTAGAATGTGTTGAGTCATCCAGCTGAAAGGAAAACCACTCAGGGTATCCAGACTACCAGACTACTAATTTTACTCAATGGGTAAAGGTTTCTTGTCAGTACAATCTGTATGGATGGGAATCCAGACAGACTAGTTTTATAGATAGCCTATGTGACAGTTAAAATGACTGACAGTACCTTTTTCACTCAAGGTTCTTCATTTAATAAAGTGGAAAGCAATATTACTCTGTCCTCTTTCTGCCTTTGAAGACACGCTAAGAAGAGAATGTAATAACAATAGTGCATCTAAACATTCTCTCAATAATGACAGTAGCACTGATGACCAGAATGCCTCTTTTATCCTCTTGTTGTCCCTTTCCCTTCCCCTTCATCTGAGAGAGAGAGAGAAAGAGAAAGAAAGAAAGACAGAAAGAAAGAGAAAGAAAGACAGAAAGAAAGAGAGAAAAAAAGAAAGGAAGAGAAAGAGCATTGCCATTAATGAGCTCATGCAAACTCATCAGTGCAGTCTGAGAACTCATGTAGAATCTATGACTGTCAACCAGACTGGGGAAAGGAGCCTGCACCAAAGGATATGAGACCCATGGCTGAAGAGCAAATAGCTGGGCTCTTTGGCTTGTGGGGGAGGGGGGCAGTTCTAGCTACAGGGGGCAACAGTCACATGAAAGGGGGAAACCTGTACCTACTTTTCCTTCAATACAGACTTTACAGTCTATTTCCTCACAAAATGAGCTAAACAGCTTTGATGGTATACAGTCATACAGTGACCCAAGAAGGCATAGCTCAAACTAATTCAACCATACCAGCCCCATGACAACAAAGGTAAAAACCTGCATCAATTTTATCTGAATCAAAATTTATTTTTAATCCAAAATAAAGTATTTAAAATGTGGATATAATTATTTACAAATACTAGTGTGGTCAACTGTTATCTATGAATCTCAGATTTTGCTTCTATCATCATTTAGTGTAAAATATGTGGGCGGACTTTCCAGTATGATCTCCTCACCCTATGATTGTGGAGAATGAGGGCAGTGATAAACCAACACCATAGGGTTCTTGGGAGGATGACAAGAATTAATAGATGTAAAGATCTTAGCACACCATTTTGCTTATCCCTGAAAGCACTCAGGAAATGGTCCTCCTCTGAATGTTATTAGCTTCACTAAGGGTCCTGCAAAGGACATCAGAGAAGTGGCCAGAGATGAAAATGGATAGGTAGATTGTATGCTACAAATCAACTGGCTAGTTCTCTTGGATTCTAACCTAAGTTTTGCTAATTTATAGCTACACCACAGTGTAGTTGTTGTACTTTGTTGTCTCTATTTCCTCAGTTAAGTGATTCAATAAGGCAAACAAGACAACACATAGGACTGATGAGGAATCAGAGTTACTCTTTGTAATGTGTCTCAGAACAACACGCTGGATGGAAGCAAGACTCAGGAAAAGTTAGCTGCAGTAGTTAAGTATTCTGAAAGCAAATGCACAGTTTAAATATTATCACTGTTTCCAATCCAAAGTTGTTTCAATACTATATGATGAAAAATTTTTACAACACAAGACTATAATAAAACATTAAACTAAAGAAAATGTGTTAGAATGTAATTCTGGTAAGAAGGTCTATAAAGGGTTAGGAAGAAAAGGAATCTAAGGGCTTCTTATTGATGAAGGACTGATGCGACAAACTTAAAAAACAAAATATAGGGCTGGGAAGGTAGCTCAGTGGTAGAGCGCTTGCCTTGCATGCATGAGGCCCTGGGTTCATTTCCTCAGCACCACATAAGCAGAAAAATAAAAGCCGGAAGTGGCGCTTTGGCTCAAGTGGTAGAGTGCTAGCCTTGAGCTGAAGAGCTGAGGGACAGTGCCCAGGCCCAGAGTTCAGGCCCCATAACTGGACCCCCCCAAAAAAAATAGATAGATAGATAGATTTCAAATTTCAATCACATTTGTACAATTCAATACTTATGTAGCATGACCTTCCTCTATAGGCTCTTAAAGGTAGTATACAGCCAGGTCCTAGCACCTTTTGCATGAACTCTTATGCTATTTCAGCCAAGATTGTACATTCTAAATTCATTCATTTCTCCTAGATATTCAGTTGTTCCCGTCTTGAGCACCTGGTGATGAAGAGAATAGTGTAAATTTGTACAAGATTTCTGTGTCCAAGCAACTGTATGTGTTCATGACACATATGCATGCACATTGCTGGTCCAGTATATTACAATATGCAGGCTGCAAGCATGTTATGCGAACGTATTACAGACTGCGGGAGTAATGCCCAATGTAGTTTGCACTTTCAAGCTAAGTATAATATGCTTAGAATGATTTATGGTAGTAATACATACTTAAAAGAATTTTTTTTCAGGAGAGTTAAAAATACCTTACATGTTTTATTTAATTAATCTTTCTAGTAGTTGTGGGAGTTATAGGCAAGCAGGTTATTATTATTAGCTTATTTTACAGCATGGAAGGCAAAGCCAAAAGATGCTTGATAAAACAATGTGCTTTCTACATAAGGAATCAGTCATTCCTCAGTCTCATACTCTATCTAGGTCAAGAGCATTATCAATACACTTGGATATCTTTACTTCAGTCATTCAACTGAACAGATACATTCATTTTTTTTATTGTGAAAGTACTGTACAGAGGGGTTACAATTACATGGGCAAGTACATTTCTTATCAAGCATTGTTGCCTCCTACTTTGTTTCCCCTTCCCATCCCTTCCCATCTCTCCCCACAACCTGCGCCCACCCCCCACCCCAGCCAAAGTTGTAAAGTTCGTTTTTCCTTGCGCAGGGGCCATGCTAATCTCTGTATCGTTCCAATTTTAGTATATGTGCTACCGAAGCGAGCACTGTAAAGTTTGTTTTCGACATAACATCTTGTACATCTCATTGTTGTAATAGGTCCACCTGTATCCCTATTTAAACTATGATTTCTGTGTTGCTTTGTACATCTCTCCCCCACAGTATAACCTATATGTATTTATTTTCCATTTTTCTCAATCACCCTTCCTCCTGCTCTAGCCAAAATGACTTCCTATTGCTCAATTAGGAATAAATAGCAAGATTACAGCTGGATTGACCCAAACTGTCCTGTACATTATGTGCTTAATAATCTGAATTTTGAGTTTTAAATTTTAATTTAATATTACATTTTTATTAAAATGACTGACAAATGTAATAGAAGATCATTAATCCTGGAGATTACTTTTAGTAATTCTAGACCAAACACTTCCACTTACTGTATTTTCATCTTTTAAGAACTTTTTCATATGAAATAGAAGGATTTAATGCTAATTGCTTCCTTTTCAGTTCTTACCCAAAGATTGTTGGGAACATTACACTTGTGTATCTCCTGATTTTTAAATTTTCAGTTCTTTCAAAGTTTGAAAATAACAAAATACATATACAGTTCTACCTCTGGGAATTCCATTGAGACTGGCTGATAATCTGCGGCTCCCTGTGAGCCTTTTGTCTGCCCACCCCCTCTTACATTTTAAAGATTAAACTTCATTTGATTTCTGGCTTAAATAACTTGCTGTGATCTCCTATTCAATGGAAGCTTTCCATTTCTTTCACGAAGACAGAGTCAGTTCCTAATATGACATTTTTGCCTGTACTGCATGGAGTCCCAGCAAAGAAAAAGCTACTCTGCCAGTCTCAGACAGAAACTACTCCTTCCTGTCAGTCTAACTCAATACATTGATTTTTCTCCAATCAATAAGTACAATAAAAACAAATCATTTAAAACATTTTATCCCTAATATTTTAAGCATTTTTATGTACCATGAATAGGTGGATTATTTATGTGAAAATTTTAAAAAGCCAAAAAAGTTATAAATTAAAATTCATTCCTTCCCCCCTTTTTTTTAAACCAACTCAAAGCTAATCATAAATTTGGCCATTAAAGCCCTGCTGGTTGGCTCAGTAGCAGTGGCACATAAGAATGTTCATCATAAATCTATTATGGCAGGTTGAAAATTATTAGAAGACAGAGGGGAGAAAAAAAGAGAAAACTTCATTGTCATTATATCTCAATATTTCTCCCTAACAAACGCCAAACAAACTGCATCTGGTAGAACTAAGGAAACAGTACAGGCCAAAGAAACTTTTAACCTAGGATCTTACCATTTTCATATTAAAAACACACCAAAAAACCCTCTGCATTGTTTAACAAATTCTGTTACCTATATTGTATTTTTCATATAAAAAGAAAAAAGAACCTTAAATCTCCTGCAGATTTTTCCTATGTGGTTAGGTCTCTGGTCAATGAACAAAGGAAAGAAAGCCTCTTCCTTTTAAGAATATTTCAGAATAAGGATTCTATTGCAGCATTTTAAAGGTCATTTAAAACTTTTCTGTGGCACAGTATTTACCAAATGTCACTTTTACTGGTCAAGCCTTATAATACCAACAAATTCACCGTAACTTCTCCAAATTCTGCATCTCGTCTTATTAGTCTGTTAGTTTTCTTAGGAAAATGTAAGTATATATTTATTGTATTTGTCTTATGTTCAGATGAACATTGCCAATTCAGGCAATGTCCTAAAGTTGTATTAACATGTCTACATCTTTGGAGTAACATTTTGTATAGAAATTGAGGAGCTTTGCCAAGATGGTGCTTGCCTGGAAGTCTAGTTATGTGGGAGGCAGAGTTTGGAAAGACACATAAGCCAGGTCTGGCGTGATATGCTCCCAGTTATGTGGGAGGCATATGTAGCAGAATCCATCTTATCTATCTGTTAGAATAGATAATACTTTCACAATGCAATGTATTCCTAAAAATCCTATGAATCAGACTATAGGGAAAGTATACATTATTATTCATTCTAACGTGCTACGGAACATATTTGGTTCTAGACCCAAGTGGAAGTCTGATGTGCCATTAAGCAGCACCTTGTAATCGGAAGTAAAATAATGCCAGACAATGTTACTACTATGTTAGAAAGCACAAATATGCTGAGTAATAAATCTGCAAATACACAAATGAGATTATTATGCTGTTTTCAGTTAAAGGCCAATGCAATGTAAATTACTAGCAAATTTGTTTATGTTTTTAGATATCAAACTCAACACAATCAAAAGTTAAGTAAAACTGAAGATACAGTCAGCAACTGTAGGTCCCAGATACAAATTACATATAAAATAAACACCTTATATGACATAAAAAGCTTCGACATCAAATCAACTTCAAATGTAATTTGTATAGCATCCTCACAATTTAAAAAAAAGTACAGACATACAATACAATTGAAATCACTATTATTTTGTCCTAAATAGCTATAGTGATTAGGGATTGAAAGTTTCCATCTCAAAGTGAGGTAAAATAACATGACCAACATGTTAATTCAACTGGCCTCTATAAAGTGCTATTAATAGAAGACTCTACAAACACAAATTATGTGTGGTTAACTGCCACTACCTGTCCATCAAAAACAAAAGTATACTTAAATATTTTTATAACAAAAGCAATAACGAGATCATCAACCAGAGGCCCTAAGTCTTTTTTTCCTTTTAACAAAAAAGAATCTTAGAACTCTGTAGTGCCAGATTTGTAAAGTAGGAGTCCAGAATTATTCAGACTAAAGAGGCTGACAGTTTCATATTCTCCCTGCCATCTTTCCACTAGCAAGTTTAGATTAAAATACCCTAAAAAGCAGGGAACAGTTGAGTGAACATTGTTTGTGTGTATTTGGACCTGTTTACACTTGCTACCCTCAACACCATATGCTGCTAGGTCTTAATGAGAATAATTACAGCTAAAGTTTGTTGATAAGCTGTAAGTAACAGACATGAAGTCACCAGAATAAAGATGCCTGGCTTCTGACACCCCCACTATGTATGAGCAAAACAAAGAGAGAAGTATAGCTTACCTCTGGTGTTCCAAGAGCATGTTCTCCAGCTAACAGCAGCATGCTCAGCCCTCCCATTTGGGTAGGATCTAAGTAAGAAAAAAATTCATCAACTTAAAAGTATGATGGAATCTAACTACACGAAATCAAAAAGGAATATTCAGAGACAAAAATCTGTCATAACATGTGTAACTTTCATGGAAAATATCCAAAACTCTTTATTTAATAGTAACCTAGTATATGTGTGTTAGTACTTTTTAATGAGCCTAGTCTTTCGCTCTCATCCCTTCCTCTTCCTCCCTCCTTACCTTTATTCCTTCCATCTTTTCTCTCTCCCTACTTTCTCTAGTCTCTCTGTCTCCCTTTTTCTCACTCATTTCCAGCCCTCACTGATCTTTGTCATTCCTCTAGAGTTTTCTATACAGCCCAGACTCAGAATGCTGGGTTTACAGGCATGCGCCACCATACCGAACCTGTCATCCCACCAGTCTTCTAATATAGCACCTTTCTTAAACCACAGAACGTATGTGAAAATGCCTAATTCAGTGTCTCCTCATGTATACATAGGTCCTCCATAAATGTATATCTTAGGAATTATCCTACAAATGCAAATGAGGACCAGTCATAATATTCTCTGAAAATGTTCAATTGTTTTTTTTTGCTAAAGTTATACACAAGTACACAGCATGTTTTAAGAACTCCTGAAATGACTCTGATCAAATCCTACATATAACTCCTTTTTAGAAAAGACAAGTCAAAAAAGTAAACAATAAAAAAAAGGAAATAGTGAGGGGAAAAAAGAGTTTAGGAAGTTACTAAAGGAAAATGCATTTCAGCAAATGAAGAGCTGTTCAAGAAATAACTCAATGGGCCAGTGCTGATAGCTCATGCCTGTAACCCTAGCTACTCAGTAGGCTGAGATCAGAGGATAATGGTTCAAAGCCAGGTCAGGAAAGTTTGTGAGATACTTATCTTCAATAAATTACTCAGAAAAAGCATGAAGTAGTGCTGTGGCCTAAATGATAGAGCACTAGCCTTGAGCAAAAAGAGCTTGGACACAGCACCGCTCTGAGTTCAAGCCCCAGGACCAGCAAAAGAAAAGAAAGGAAAGTGAAAAGGAAAGAAAAAGAAAAAGAAATAGCTCAATGGTGGTAGACAGCCACATGGAAAACACACATAGAATACACTATTAAATACTGGCTGGCTTGATAAAACACACCTCTTGAGTTTTGTTTTAAGATTTCAATGTTATTTAAGCATTAACTTTAAGAACTATTGTGCCTACTGAAATAGATACTTAAGCCTAATTAAAAATAAAAATGAGAAGGAAAAATGAATTTAGTAGAAAGCAATGCTCTCCCTGGTACTTGGAGAGGAAACACTTTTGCAGCTGTCATCCTAGAGACTAGGAGGACTGGCATTCTAAAGATTAAAAATATGTAGCTCAAATTACAAAGTCAAATATGAACATGATTACATGATAATTGAAGTTATATACCAAATGTAACTTTTTAAGAAGTTTTCTGTACTGATACTGAAAGACATGCCAAGAAAACATCTTTCATATCATTTGTACTTTATATAAGATTATAACTTCATATAAATAGAATACTTTCCATTTATTGAGCAAGTTGGTATCTTAAATTCTATGCACCTTTTCTTTTTTTATTATTTTATTGTAAAGATGCTGTACAGAGGGGTTACAGTTACATGAGTAAGGTAATGAGTACATTTCTTCTATACATCTTTTCAAAATTACTTTTCAAAACTACATTTGACAACTTTGGGATTATTCTAAATTGTGAAATATGGAGTGACAAGGACTATTTGAGCAAACACAACAAAACAAATATTTATGATGAGAAAAACTGCTCTTTAAAACCCCTTTTAGTATTCCCCAGAGTCTGAGATCTAAATGGTAGGTTATAATTAAAGGCAATTTAGTTCACTTTCATCTTGTTGGAAAGAGAGAGAATATTTGAGTAATATTACTGTACACAAGCTACATAAAGAATGTCTTGATTATATATTTCTAACACATGGCACAAGTCATTATTGAGATAAATGTCAGAAAACGTTTTTCTTGTGTCCTACTCTTTGCTTTAAAAAAGATTTTAAAAAGCTGACCTAGAAATAAATACTTTGTTTGAAGTCCAGGTTTGACTTCCATTTTGTAGGAAAAAAGGCAAAACACACTTCTGTAGTTTACCTGTAATGTTTGGTTAATTGTATATAAACAATAAAGCCCTACACATACTAACCTAGATTTAGAATTCAGAGAAAAGCAATGCATGCTAGACAATGATTTAGGAATTAGGGTTAGGTGCCCGTCATAGATGTATTCATTGTTGGTCCCGATAATAAAATGTCTTGGAAAAATACAACAATGGTACAACCTGGGAAGCCCAGAGGGCTCACCAGGACTTATAATAAGTGTTTGAAGCTACATGTACAGAATGACAGCTAAAACAATAAAGATATCTATGTATGTTGTAGTTCTTCTGGGACATGTAGAAACATTGTTTTGGGAGTTCAGTTATAATTATATTATGGAATAGTCACCTGAAAACCCTATTTCCCAAGAATGTTATTATTACAGTGAGCTCCAATTTTTATCAGTTAAGACTTTTTTTTTTAGCATTTACATATACTTTTTATACTATGAATCATCCATTGAACTACAATGTCTTGTTAGTCTACTAGACAGTTTTTTCTTATGGTGTCATTATAGTATTGCTCAACTTTGTTTTCCAATTTTTCAATATCATATATAGTTCAGGACTCTGATGTTGAAGAAAAGTTGCTTGATAAATGGAACTGGATTCCTATGGCTCAACATGAACTTCACTGCTTATACTTCAACTCCATTTCCCAATTACATCCTACATATTACTGTTTGCATACCACATGGAAACAGGAAAGGTAAGAAACATTTTCAAGGTAAATAGATGTATTTTATTTCATAGTAATCAACATTGTAGTATTCCTGACCTCCCAAAGTATTAGAGCAAATAGAACCATGCTTCATTTGAAATCCGCTCAGCCCATATAGTAATAGGACAGGAGATGATAGGAGATAGTCATCAGATCCATCTAAGATTTGCCATAGTTGTTCATATTCTTGCCCTCAGTGTTTCAGTTACTCAGACAATTCACTATGGCTTTTTAAATTTTGTGATAAGCAGTACTTACTAGGAACTTTTCTGCTTTGTTAATATTAAATTTCCTAAGCTCTTGACAAGCTAACATTGCTATCTAGTCTCTATCTCCTTTACTTTAATACATTTATAGATCCATACATCTATCCTTTATATGTAATGCTCCAATCTCATATTCAATTATGAGATAAAGGAGCCAAGATGGAGAGTATAATGGGAAGCCAGGCACTATTGGCTCACCCCTGTCATCCTAGCTACTCAGGTTACGATCTGAGGACTGAAGTTTGAAGCCAGCCTGCGTAGACAAATAGGAAAGACTTATTTCTAATTAGCCAGTAAAAAGTAGAAAATGGAGGTGTGGCTCAAGTAATAGAATAACAGACACGAATGAAAAACCTAATCAAGAGGGAAAGGTTCTGAATTCAAGTCCCAGAATTGGCATGCATGCATATATACACGTACACACGTGCACGTACACACATACACACACACAACTAGGAAAAGGGATGCAGGAAACAAAGTAGGCAAAAAAAACCCACATTTGGTTATCTGAAGAGGGTCTGATGACCTTGGTTTAAAACATGTCAATGCTTCATGTAGATCATAAATTTCTCTCCACTCAGCTTTTGGTATTTGTTAAGAAATATTCACTAACCATATGTTTTGTCCTATAAAAAATAGATAAAAACAGTCTCTAAACTCACCGGCCATTCCAAAGTTAAGCTGAGGCATTTCTTCAGTCTTTGCTTTCTTGGGACTTGGCAGATCTCTTGAAGAGTCAGGTGGAAAGGCCCAAAGTTTCTTTCGTGGATTGACAGTGGGTGTTGGTGATTTCACAGGCTTGTTTGTGGTAGGACACCATTTGTAGCCAGGATTTGCTTTCATAAATGCATCTTTATACTACAAATTTTAAAAACACAAAACATTTTAATTAACATAAATTAAAATATTCTAATAGCCTTTACTCTATTCCCCACTCATTGATGATGGGAAAAATATTTTTAATGGTTTTTATGGCTTTCCTCAGAAAAAGGAATTTCAGCAGTCTCAGACTTTTCTAGTATCTGAAGAAAGGGCTTTGTCAAGAGAGGAGTACCAGATGCAGTCTAATGATCTAAGTTCAAAATATAACTCTACTTCAGCCAGTTGTCATTGTTTAACAATTCTGGACTCAGTTCTAATACCTGTAACTATACCTGCTGATGTAAACTTTATTTTCAAATTGAGATATTAATAGTGTAAAGGAGTTTCACTATAATACTATAAACACAAAAAGTGTACGTTGATTAAGTTCACTCCTCTATTACTGTCCTGTAATACCAGCTCACTTCATCAGCTTTCAGTCTTCTGTGAATCTCATTAGGTTGTCTTCACATACATGGACAGACAGACATATATACACATACAAACATGCGTACATACATGCTTTAATTTGACAGAGTTCAATCTTCTCATCCTCCATCCCTCTTCCCATTGATAAGATGGTTCCTCCAGATAGTCCTTCCTATTACATTCTTATTCTATCATTATCATCATTCTAGATCTAGATTTCACAAATGAGCAAAAAAATATTTGGTATTTGGCTTTTAAGCTTATTTTATCTATTTCCATATCCAACCATTCTCCTACAAATAACTTTCTCTCTCATTCGTTTGTTCATTTGTTCGTTCGTTCGTTCCTTCCTTCCTTCTTTTCCTTTCTTTCCTTCCCCTATCCCCACTCTCTTTATTATTATTATTTTTTGGTGGTGGTGGTGATGGTGGTGGTGCTAATCCTGGGGCTTGAACTCAGGGTCTGGGCACTGTCCCTGAGCTTTTTTGCTCAAGGGTATTGTTCTATCACTTGAGCCACAGCTTAATTTCCAGCTTTCTGGTGGTTAATTGGAGATAAGAGGATCACAGACTTCCCTACTTAAACTGTGGTCAAAACCAAATCCTCAGATCTCATCCTCCTCCTGGGATGGGAGCTAGAAATTAAAGGCATAAGCCTTGGCACATGATACAATTTTTTTTTTAATGGCTAACTAGTACTCCATGGCATGTGTCTGTCTGATAGCTATCTATCTATCTATCTACTATCCCATATTTTTTCTTCATCTATCTTAGCTGATTTCATTGATTTACATTCCTTATAACACATGTTTAACACAGGTATGGAAGGGTCATAAGTAGGTCTATTTTGGTAAAAGGGCACATATGATCAAATACATGAACAAGCTCTAAAAGTTATGATGTGTTATGTTGCTATGAATCCATCACAAACTCAGTTTTTCTTTAAAGTCTCCACCTTCACTGCCAACATCTTTCTATCTGCTTCATTTTCTTTGGCTTTCTTCTGTTATCCTCTCTCCTAACTCTACTACCTCTCTCTTTTTTATGATAGTATTAAGTGAAATGTATTATTGATATTTATTGTCCACTGTCTAGTAATGTTAGCTGATAAAGATGAATCTTCCATGTATTCAACTGTTACTACTGTATATTTTATTAACATAATTGTTCAACCTCACAGGTTTATCTTCTAAAATGGTCAGCATATGACATTTATTATAAGCTCCAAATACCTTTCAATTTAGTCCCAGAGGAAAAATAATGTCCTTTAACCTTTGTGTAGGAAAGAATATGTAATCTACATAAACTTTCCCCCATGATTTCATTATAAATCATATAAATAAAAGCTGTAATGTAGGTAAAGATGATGTCTCATATTCCAAAGTTATCTATGCTCAAATTTTCTGAATAAATACATGCAAGATGGAAATTTATGTGTTTATACACCAACAAGAGATAAGCATACAAAAGTCTAACATGTAGACCCAGTTGTCTTACAACATAATAAACATGGGCCGTGGGGCCAAAGCCAAACTAGAATTTAACGTTGTATACCAGGATGTGTTTGGAAGCATCAATGTGACATGAGATACATCACCACATCGCATTCATCTGCATGGGGGATGTACATATTCAGTTGAGGCAGACAAATAGCCTTGCCTGCTGTCTGGAGGTGGAAAGTGACAAATGGAAGGCAGAGGTGAGAATGCAATAGCAGACACATACATCATTACTCTGCCCAAATAAAAGGCATATGGACTAGGTTTGTCAGACAAACACTCATTTGGACAAAGGTCACTACTCTACAAAGTGACAAGCCTTTCAAATACATTTATTAAGGTATTTGTCATGAGAAATAAAATTATCTTCATTGCAGTTCAGTTTATAAAGAAGCAAATCCCAACTGCAAAAGATGCCAGATGATGTCACTAGCACTCATTTCTTTGTTCCATACCTGCTCTCCTCTCTTCTTCATCTTCATGTTAGATATGTCTATTCCTAGTAAGATGTCAGTGTTTGCTAAGAATCATTTAGTAATTTGTTTTGTAAAAAACAGTAAATATAATGAAAATGCTAATCACTTCATCCTGACAAATGAATTATTGTGAGCATCAAATATTTTTAAATGTAGTTGAAGATACTAATAAAGGCCAGCTTACACTAATTCATACCAGAAAGCTTGTTGTGCTGAAGACAACATAAAGCAGTGACAGTTACCACACCACAATCATTTCTCTGTCATCTATATTCCATCCACCTTCACTGCCAATACTTTGGGAGTACTGGCTAAATGACAGCCTCTTACTAGTCACTGGGGACAAGAAACATGATAAAATACAGAGCTCTCCACTCCTAATACTTACAATTTACAATTAACTATTCTATATGTGTGTAAATATAATACTTATAAACCATATATATATATATGTATATATGGTCTATATACATACATATATATATACATGTATGTATGTATATGGTCTATAAGTCTTGCCCTGACTTAGGCATGAAAAATGGTTTGCATGAGTGCCAAAAAGGTTTTTACCTATGAATAGAATAACAGAAAGCAAGAAAGAAACCTGGAACATGGAACTAGAAATTTACTATACAGAACACTAATCTGGCATCTTATCACAATATTCATTGTTCAGATTCTTTTTTAATTATATTTTATCGTCTTTAAGTAACAAAAGAATTACCATAAAAGAATTTCCAGAAAATAGAAAGACTTGGAGAAAATTATATGAAGTGAAGTAAGCCAGGCCTAAAGAAACATAGGTCCCATGGTTTCCCTTATTTGCAATAACTAGTATATGTCTGGGACAAGCAGAAAAGCTCGGGTAAGATGATGTTAAGCGAAATGAACCTCAGGATAGGGACACAGCGGTTTTTTTCTTCCTTGCTGTTGTTTCTGATGTATTTATAAGGGACCATGTGGTTTTTTTTGTCTTTTTATTTGTTTCTCCCTCATGGCATAACCCCATTTTTCACTGTATTTGATGTTGGTATAATTTGGGGAGGGGAAGGGAAAAAACAAAATGTTTAAATAGGGATACAGATTGACCCACTGCAACAATGAGATGTACAAGACACTATGTCGAAAAACCAACTTTACAATGTAGGCGGGGCTAGGGGTGGTAGGAGGTGTGTGGGGGTGTAGTTGAGGAGGTGAGAGGGAAGGGATAGTAGGGAAAAAAATAAGAATTTCCATAAAATCGGTTTATAAGTATAATGCATCTTGATCAATGTTACTCTTTCATCATTCTCTCTTATCTTTCCCAATTTTTCAGATTTTTAATAGAAATACTCAATACTATAATACTTGTTCTGTCAGTATAAGAATAATGGGTTTTTCATTTATTAACTTACATTGAGGATTGATTCTTAGTTCTCATACATGCTAAACATGCACTATGCCAGAAAGCTATACTACAGGCCCCCAAATCCAGTAATGTATTGAACAGAAGGCTTTATGAATTTAGGAGACAGAGGATAAACAATAGTGTTTATCCTGAAGGTATTAAAGCACAGATAGGAATGTCATAAATACAAGTAAAACCAGTGTTTGTGCACTAAGTGATGCAGAGACAGGAGTGAAGATGACTATTTGTCCTTGGAACGAGGTACTCTCATCAATCACTTGCTCTGAATCAGCTCTAAGAATCAATAGAAAGTCTTGATCATCTGTTGAGTGAGATTATTAGGAAAGGGAATACAAAGAAGGCTGGATAAGGGAGCAATGTAGGGACATTTTGTATATAGTCTGAAGTAAATAACCAAGTGAAATTATTACTAAACAGGTCAACCAGGTGGGGAAAAATCTATCATCACAGGATTAAATGGCCAAGAGATACACTCTACCTATCTCTAAATAATCCATGTGATTTTGATATTTTTTTGATGCTGCAGGAGGGATGAGAAACTCCTTTATCCTCCAGAACAGCCATTATAGATTTCAGTGAAAGACTCTTATAGATGAGTAGACTGGTTTTCAATTCTGGATTTCAAAATTCTTTCAGTGAAATGAAAATTTGCCTCTTGTCCTCCAATTTCTATGCTTGCTGGATAACAGATGTAATTCCTAATACAAGGCACTTAGTGATGCTGGCTCCCTTCTCCTAAGACTCTGCTCTGACCCACCACTCTCGTTTTCTTTAACATCAATAATAAACTAGCAATTCTGTTACTGATTCTACTATCATTAAATACATACTCTTTGTCATAGTATTATTTCTCCTTTTGATTTTGACAATGACATTATAATGTGTTATGTTAAGCTATTATTTTAAAATAAGGTCTCATGCTTTTCCAGATCATTTATGTAAATGGAATCTGATCTACAAAACACCTTAATAAATAAAAGGTATTCTCCAAATAGTTATTTTTACCTGACGATGAAAGTCCTCATATTTCTAGCTATTATTACAGTATAGATCTTCTATATGGAGTAAAAGAAATGTCAATGAGGATGTCTGTGTAACCAGGACAGATGCCTAGAGTAGGTATGTGAAGTATTACCAGAAAAGAAAATCTAAAAGAACTGTAAAAGATTGCACAGGAAACCATGTT